CGCGGGTTACCGGACCCCCGTCATTTAACCCAATGGTTTGGCCGGACGCGTGGTGGCGTGCTGGTCTTGGACGATTTGATGGAAGAAGGGGGACAGGATAAACGCGTGTTGGATTTGTTCACCAAAGATTCCCATCATCGCAACATTACCGTCTTGTATTTGACGCAAGATTTATTCCCACCGGGCAAATTTGCCAAGACCATTAATCGCAACGCGCATTACATTGTGGCCTTCAAGAATCCTCGGGATCAAACGGGCATACGGACCATTTTACTGAAGGCCTTTCCCGACCGATGGCGTCAAGTATTGCGCCTATTTAAACGCATCACGTCCCGTCCCTTTGGCTATTTGATGTTGGATGTGCATCCGGCGTCGGATGATCGGTACCGCCTGTGGAGTCATTTAACGCCGAGAAGGCAAGGCGCAAGTCCATACCTTGCCCGTGGATGTCCCTGCCGTTCGAAAACGAACTGCAACGAGAACTCGCCAGGGTTCGTCGGCAAAGAGAAGGCGGACAACATACTGACTTAGCGACCCGCATGGATACGCCGACCTTCTCGCCCGCCGGCGTGGGGTCGCCCACCGCCCCTCCCCCAGATCTCAGTACCATGACGGATATGGTCACGGAATTGACCCAACCCGTGGATCGAGTCCAATTGGATCAAGAGATTGAGGATTTTAATTTGACCTACCCGGTCAATGTGGACGATGCCTTGGAGGCGTTTACGCTACCTCCTGTGGCAGGCACAGGCACTACCACCACCACGGCACCGCCCCCACCACCCACGATCACCACGGCTCCCACCACGACAGCCACCCAAACCCGTCCCACCACATCCACCCGCACACGTCCCACGGCCACTACCACCACTGCCTCTAGACGACCCAGACCACGCCCTGTCACCACCGCTACGACCACCACGGCTCCCTCCCGCCCCTCCACCGCCCGACGCAGTGCTGGAGCCGGCACCAGGACCACCACCTCCACGGTGACGACCCCGACGGGTCGTCCCACCATCGCCGCCAAACAACCGCGACGACGTCCCCGCGTGCCCTCTCCACCGTCCCCGGATTCTTCCCCTCCGTCGGAGGATGAGGATGAAGATGATGATGACGATGATCGACGGCGAGGCTTAAGGCGACGGTTGGATTTGCTGAACGAAGATGCGCAAGAACGGGCGCGAGGGAGACGCATTCGCAATATCACGCATACCAATACGGTGACCACCGTGTATGAAGAGGGAGGGCGACCGTCCGTGCGCCGCACGTCGACGCGAACGTCCAGCCCAAGTCCACCCCCTGTACCACCCCGCCGAGGTCGTGGCCGTGGACGTGGCCGAACCCGTGGACGGGGTCGACGCCCGTGAAGATATAAAACCAGGAGTCTTCCTTCGACCGTTCCAAAACCATGTGTGGCCGATGTCGAAGCGGGATGGCCCCTCGACGCAAACGTAAACGCACCACGACCCGACGTCGCCGACCCCCCGCCAAACGACGAAGGGGTCAAGTAGGGGGTGTCGGGCCCGGCTTGCCTCTCGGGATTCTCAAAGCCGGCTATGGGATCACCAAAGCCATTGGGGATCATCAACAAAAGCGAGCCCAAGCCATTATTGACAAACGCACACGAGAGTGGGAATCTGGCAAACGAAAACGCTATGCGGGGGAATCATTTAATTGTTCCATTATGTGAAAAAAAGTATAAAAGACAAGAGGTGTGTCTTTGGTTGGACAGATGAAGGGATGATCATGCCTTGTGGTAGACGACGCCGAAAGCAACGAGGGGGTATCCTCCCAATATTCCTCATCCCCGCTGCTATTGCTGCAGCTAAGGCGGCAGCGGCTGGCGCCGTGAGTGGTGCCGCGGCTTATGGCACTAAAAAAGCCATTCAAGCCGCGAGGCGCAAGAAAAAAGTGGGCAAGATCAGTGCCGCGCAAATGGCAGCGAATCAACGACGGGTCCAGCGGATGTTAGGTCGAACGGGGTGGGGCGGGTTTAAAATACTGAGAAAGCTATAAAAAGACACTCTGGGTAGGGACCCAGACATTATTGGAGGATGGTCCGTGGACCCAATGGACGCCGACACCGTTATGTCCCCCGAAAGCGACGCCGTCGACGTGGTTTGCAACGCGGAGGTAGGCTATCGCTGTTGGCAATGGCTCTCTCGCCTTTGTGGCTCCGAAAATACAAACCCAGGGTCCGTGTTCGTCGACCGGAGTAGACCCCCTCGCAAGGCCATCACGTTGACGTTAGAGTGGACGGAGGAAATCGAGGCCGCGTTGT